TTCCTTCTATCAGATATTTATCCATTAGGGAAGTCTTTCTTGAAGGACAGGAGTCAAAGTAAGTCCCCTATTGCTTTGTGAGCTAACTATAGTTAAACAAGACACTACGGCAGGCTAGAAACAGGCACCAGTGGAGGATCTATCCCCAGTTGTCTACTGGGGAGAGGAGTGAGAGGAGGATGAGGTAGAGGTGACCAATGGGAATCCCTAAACGACTAAACTCTCATATAAACAAACAGCCTTCACTTCTTCTAGGGCATCTGTCCCCAAAAAGTTCGAGCATGAATTTGGGAGTCCCTACTTTATCTCAGAGGGACTTTGAATACAACCTGGACTCTCAGGTTATGATATTGGAAGAGAGGCGAATCAGAGGGCTTACTTAATCTGTTACATTCCTGACAACTGAAAATAATCTATCAGAGTGAATCCTGATAACATGAATATATCCAACCTTCCAACCATCTATCCTCTATCCATCCATCCATCCATCCAACTATCCATATATTTACCATCCACCTAGTCAAGCATTCATCCATCATCTACTTATTCACCCATCCATCTATCCATCCATTTACCCATTGATACAACTATCAGCCTATCCAACAATTTAATCACTCATCCAGTCATTTATCCAACTATCTATGCATCCATCCAGCCATGCATTCAGCATACATACAACCATCCTTCCATTTACATATTCAGGCTTCTACCCAACTGTCTAAACCACCATCCAATCACCCATCCAATTATCCCATAATTCCAACTATTCTTTTATCCAACCATCCATCTATTCATTTACATTGCCAGCCAGCCATCCATCCATCCATCCATCCATCCATCCATCCATCCATCCACCCACCCATCCATCCATTCTTCCTTCCTTCCTTCCACCCAATCTATTTAATCATTTATTCAAGGATCCTATGATCCATCCACCCAGCCATCTAACCACTCATCCTTCTAGTCATCTAGTCATCCATTCATCCATCCACCCAATTCCTGAACACTCTGGGAACATCAGTCATTTCCTCTTCTGTGCTACTGTTGTCCCCTGGTTTCTCACATGAGACTGAACTCTTTAAAGGCATGACCTGTCCCTTCTTCATTCATCTCTATATCCCTAATGTCTGGCAGTTATCAATGAGGCAGTAGACTCAATAAATGTTTCTCAAATGAGTAAGTGAACATTCATGACAAGCAATGAGTAGGTGCTAGACACAATATTAGGCCCTGATAAATGTGAGGTACTAGAGACTCATGTTTTCCAGACTGGGGTAATAAATGCTGGAAATACCCAATACTCAAATTATTTAACACCTGACATGTCATGGAAACTTCCCAGGCAGAACTGAGTGGGGTCTTAGAGATACACATTTACCAACCAACATGTAAATCTTTAAATATTTTAACAACTCAAATGACTTCACCAGTGTGTAACAATTTGTGCCCTGGTTGCTGCACTGCAGGCACAAAGTCCTGGGGTTATAGAGAAGAAAGCAAAGAATAACTAAGGAGGCTTCAGAAGTTTGAGTGGCAGTTCTTCCTTCAAGGAGACACAGGCATTCTCTCTTGTCCAGATGGTGCTGTGAAAGGTGGCCACTGTGGCCGAGCCAACACCCTCTCTGGAAAGCCCATAGGAAACTCCCCCACCTCGGAGCCGCTTCAGCCGCTTCTCCTTCCTCTTCTTGCGTACAATGAAGAGCAGGGCCACCCCCAGTGTGGCCAGGATGACTGGGCAGCCAATGGTGAACAGCTTCTTCACATCATCCCCTTCACCTTGAGCGGACTTGATGGGTGGGATGGTGCCTGAGTGGGAGTAAAGAAGAGAATCGGGCGTCCCTTATGAGCCAGGGGCTGTGCAGAGTCCCACGGATGGAAAAACCCTGTGACTTCTCTTGCTGTCCTTGATCTTGACCTCCACCTCTTGGCAGAGTTCCAATCCTCTCCTATGCTCCCCCCAATTCTGGTTCCATCAGGACAGCCCTGAGCAGCTGTGTAGTTTTTACACTGTCAGATATCAAGGGCTTCCTGGTACAGTTTTAGAATTATCCCGAAACCTCTCAGAGTTAGTTCCCTTCCTGTTGGTGTTCAGTGTTCAATCCTAGAGGGTGGATTGGTAGGCTGGGGGTGGGGGAAGATGTCAGGGCAGTGGGACCCTGGGTTTCTTGCCCGCATTCTCTCTCTGCCTGCCCCTTCCATGGGCAATATTCATTACATTTGGGGGCCTGTAGGGAGGCGATGATGAGCTCTACTGCCTATGTACCCCTCTGCCAAGCCCTGATCCTTGCTTCCTTTCCAAGCTTTGCTTAAGAATCATCGCCTTCATGAAGCCCATCTCCCACCATCACACTTTTCCTTTTTTCTTTTTTTTTTGGAGACAGGGTCTTTCTGTTGCTCAGGTTGACCCTGAACTCCTGGGCTCAAGGGATTCTCCTGTCTCAAGTCTCCCAAGTAGATGGAACTACAGGTGCGCACCACTGGGCCTGACTTCCCATCTTCTTCTGATACTGCACTTATTCTATTTCCCTGACACATGGGTAGAATTGTGGGACAGAGTTATGGGTAGATTTAGCTTATAACAATGACCCCCTAAGATTCAGCCTTCTTTTACTGTGTATGTGTACATATGTGTGCAGGCATGTGAAGTATTCCTATGTGGTCGACACCAGTTAGGTCGTCACTGAAGATTCACATACTTGTCTCCATTTCCCAGACTTCCTTGCAGTTAGATTAGTAGCCAATGACTAGTTTTAACAACAAAATGTGAGCGGAAATGATGAGCACCATCTCCTGGCCAAGGCAGTTAAGAACTGAGAGTTCTTTCTTTTTCGAGGCACCTTGAAGGCTCCATGTTCAAGATGGCATAGCTAAAAGGTTGTGGCCAACCAACCCTCAAAGGCTTTAGGAGAGCCAGGGAAAAAATCTTGATTGGGTGAAGCCACCACACTTTTAGTGTTTGTTACCGCAGCAAGGCTCTCCCTTGCTGGCTAATATATCAATAAACACCAGTCTGCTCTCTCTCTGCCTGCTCCTTCACCTGCCAGCCCTTTTCTCTGACTGTATTCCTGCCTATTTTTCTACTTGTCCACCTCTGCCATTCTCCCAGCTCTCTTTGCTCAACCTTGGGGCTGCCCCCTCCTGCCCTTCCCGACTCACTGCCATCGTAGTCCAGGGTGGCAAACTGGGCTGTCTCGTTGCCGCAGCCAGCACTGTTGCAAGCCCGCATGCGCAGCTCGTACCACGTGGCCTCCCGCAGTTCAGTCAGAAACACCTCTGTGGAGCTGTTGGCCCGGAGGCCCTGCCAGGCCCAGGTCCCTTTGGGCCGGTACTCCAGTACGATGGCCGTGATGGGGCAGCCCCCGTTGTTCCAGCCCTGCAGGTTAAGCCGAGCATGCGTGGAATTGATGTGGGTGAAGAGGTGTTGGTCTTTGCTGAAGGAGGGCTCTGAGGGGCCGGAGGGAGAGAGAGGTTAGAGAGCTGGAGAAGGGAGGGGGCGTTCATCCTGCCGGGGAGAATGGCCCTGGGGTGGTTGCGGCTTCAGTGGCTCCGCGGGATCAGTGGACAGAACAGGTGGGAATGGGGATACCCCAGAGAGCAAGAGGAGAGGGAGAGGAGGACAGAGAAGGGAAGGACCCAGAGAGGCGCCTCAACAGTAAAGGATGAGTGATGGGGAGGAAGGCAGAGGACTGCCACCCTCTGTCACCCCCGATAGGGAAGTGAGACTATTTTTTTTCCTAGTGAAGATGATTTTGGCCTCAAGATGCTCTAGTGGTGGGAATGAGGCTGAGGTTCCACCCTTCAGTCCCCAGTGTTTGAAGGTTTGGAGGCTGGGTCCCTCCTTCCCCATGCCAGCCATCCTCCACCCCCATATCCTGGGCCCCTCCACTTGGCTCCGCTCCCCCACCCCAGGCTCTTCTCTCCATCCCCACCCTGGACTCCACCTCACCCCGCCCATGGGTCTTGGCCTCGATGATCTCGCTGATGCGCCCAGAGCCCACGCTGTTCTTGGCCGCCAGCTTCACCTTGTACCATGTGCCACACTTGAGGCTGTCCAGCTTAAAGGACCGCTCGCTGGAGCTGATGAACACGTCCTTCCACTCCTCGCTGTTGTCCACTGAGTACTGGAGCACGAAGCCTGTCGGGAGGGGTCTGGCTCAGGTGGGCGGGGCAGGGCAGCAGAGGCCCAGCCTGGACTCCCCAATGGGCACTGTAGGGGTGGGGCTCAGGAGGTGGGGGCAGAGTGGGGCCTTTGGTCATTGGGAGGGGCATATGCAAATTAGACTCCAACCTGAGGGATCTTGGGTCCTGTCCCCGGGGTGCTTACTGCTCACTTTTCTTAGCTCTGATGTTAGGATCCCACAGGAAACCAAGTCAGGAGGCTTAAGAGGGAGCCTATTTATATCTTTGCTATTCCATGGTGTTGGGGGGGGGGTTTCCCTGGCCAGAAGTATCCCCATCACCTAGCAGCTGGTTGGAACTGTAAATTATCAGCCCCACTCCAGACCTATGGAATCAGAAACTGAATCTTTCTAAGATCCCTGGTTGTTCACGTGCCCATTCAAATTTCATGGATCCTGTAGGTTGATCTACTTGGACAGATTGGGAAAATAAGACCCAGAGAGGAAAACAGACCTCAAGTCCACCCAGTCTGGGAGTGCCAAGGGACTGTGAGGTTTCCCTGCACTTGAGTGCCTCCCTTGTGGTCTGAATGCCCCCAGATCATTTCCAGGGTGTTACAGGGACAAGTGGTCAGACTGAGTAAAGCCCTCCCCCTGCCCAGGGGCCCCAGGATTCCTCCCCCTCATCCAGACCCCTTCTCACCTCGGATGGAGCTGCCCCCATTGTCACCTGGAATCCAGGTCAGAGTGATGGATGAAGCTGAGGTTTTGGAGACAGTGAGGCGGGGCTGGTCTGGGGGAACTGTAGGGGAAAGCCATCAGCCCTCAGCACAGAGGTTGACCCCAGTGGTGGGTCGCGGGGGTCCCCATGGTAGGAAGGGGCTGGCTCTTCCATGTTCTGGGTCCCTCCACTCTGTTCACTCCCTCTCCACCCCTCCTGCCTCCTTTCCATTCCCACCTGTGTTCCTCCAAAATCTGCCCTCTCCTACCTGAAGTTTGGCTTTTTCTGCCATCCACTAACCCTTTCTTCTAACATGGTGGAATTTCTATCCTTCTCCATCCTGTCCCCACCCAAGCCGCCTGCCTCTCAGGGCCTCACCTTGCACCAGAAGGTTGACGATGATGGTATCAAAGCCACCGGTGTTGGTGGCCGTGCAGGTGTAATAGCCGGAGTCCTCAGCCTTCACAGCACGTAGCAGCAGTGTGCCATTCGTGTGGATGAGCCGGTGCCCGTCCATGGACACGGGGATGGCCGAGTCTTCACTGCCAGGGTGAGTGAGCAGAGGGGTTATGGCAAGCACCCCTCCTCCTGACCACCCTCCCCAGGTAGGTGGGAGTGGAAGGAGGCTTGCTAGGGGCCCTGTACTCTTGGAGGTTTGCTCAGCATTTCCTGTGGGTATCCAGTAATCTTGGCCTCCTCAACCACATAGGCAAGGGAGGCCCTTGGCTCCAGACAGAGGGAGCCACAGAGGCCACCCAGGGAGCGCAGTGCCATGCACACTGCAGGGCCTCCACAGGGCCAGGAGGCAAGCAAATCATCTGGAAGCGAGAACACCCAGACTCTCCCTTCTCTGGGGTTACCCATCCCTTCAGGGGCTTGCCACTCACCTGTCTTTGGTCCACTTCACAGCGGGGGCTGGATCTCCCACTGAATTGCAAGGCAGCCGGACATCTCTCATCCAGGGTGTCGTCACGGTGCCCCCAAATGAGATGATCTTTGCTGGGGCTATAGGGAGGAGAGAGGATGAGGGCCACCCCCATTTTTACCCTTTAATACTCCCCTGGGCCCTTTCTCGGGACTCCCTGGATTTGAAATTCAAGTCAAAGGAAATTTTGGCAACCCTTGGCTGCCCTGGTGGAGGTGGTTCTGAAGGACGGACTGTGACAGGATGGGGCTGTGAGCAGGCTGGAGGCCCAGGACAAGATCTGATGGGACCTGGGGGCTGACTGGTTTTGGAGGAGATGGGGAGAGGCGAGGACAAGTCCCAGGGCTCAGGCTGGGCTGACAAGGTGGAGACGGTGCCCTGGAAGTGACAAGGCACAGTGGAAGAGGGCCAGTGTGGTGAAGGGCAGCCAGAGTCCAGGGGAGTCTGCAGATGTCTGGACCAGAGGCTGATTTGGGAGTGATGGGCGGGGTGGGGCAACCCCCTGGGGTCATGGACACCTAGGCACACAGGAGAGAGCAAGGGACACCCTGAGGGGGCTGGGAGAACTGGGTGACACCACAGAAGGCACAGGCCAAAGAGCAGGATAGGGGGGCATTATCAGGGGCCACAGAGGTCACCAGGCCTGATTGGAGGGAACCGAGAGACCCCATGCCCCAGAGGGCCAGAGTGGCCGTGCACCAGGGGCCTCCTTGGCCGGGGGAAAGTGTGAAGTGGTTGGGACCAGGTGAGAGGTCGGGGTGCAGGGAGTGGAGGCTGGTCCCCCTGAGGGCAGTGCGGGATGGTGGCACGTAGGAAAGGCCTGTGGAGCTGCTAAGAAGGAAGAGGGGGCCACCTGGGGGCCAGAGGCAGTGGAGTAGGGCCTGCATTACCTTGGCTTTCCTGGGGCCAGAGAGATGCCTCAGAGGACAGGGGTTCTCCAGAGACCTGGCTCCAGACTGGGTTCTGACACCAGCGGGGGCCATGTGTGAGTGTGAGTTTGTTTATGAGGGCGAGTGTGTTTGAGGGGGGAAGGGGACCACAGTGCTGTCTTGCCTGCTTCCCTGGGGAGCTGTGAGGGGTGTGTGATGTGTTCTTGGAAGTGCAGAGCCTGTAAGGATGCACTGCATTTAATGTCTACGGGGGCAGAGGCCAGGCTTCTGCCAAGAGCTGGGTCCTCGGACCCCTACCTGTGGGCTAGTGCCAGCTGTCCCTGGAGGATCACAGGCTCTAGGCCCTTCCCTCCTGAAGGGGCTGAGTTGTAGAGCAGGGGTAGGAGGCACCCCTGGGAGGCCACATGGACTAGCACCCAGAAGGGTAGTCCAGCACCGTGTGGCTGTCTGGGCAGGCGGGTCACCTGTGTCTTAGACTCACAGTCACACAGAGGCATTACAGTGCCTGCTGGCCGGCAAGTGGGAGCCCTGGCCAGCCTCAGGACCTCAGCTGGATGCCCGCTGGCTCTGAGCCAATGGCAGGTAGGGCTGAAGCCTGCCTGAACCAGGGCAGCTGGGCCGAGGTACCACCCCATCCTTGTCCAGGCCCTGGGACCCCAGGGCTATGACGCCAGGGAGTAAGTAGGGACTGGGGAGAGTAAGTAGGGACTAGACAGAGTAAGAGGAAGGGAGACCAGAGCCAAGTGGAGGACCTAGAGTCCTGGGCTCACTGGCCGACAGCTTTACCTACGTGGCAGCCTGACTTGGTCTTGGGCTCAGAAATGCCATTCCCCAGAAGCATGGGGGTGCATCTCCATGCCACACCCCTGCCCTGGGCAGGGATTCAGTGGGGCCCACCCCTAGAAGGCCTGACTTAGGCCTAGAACCTGAGCCGTGGTGGGAGCCCTCTGCCCGCGGTGTCCAGGCTGCAGTGGGCTCTACACAGGCTCTCTTGGGAGCCTCGGCTGCTCTGTGGCAGCAACGCACCCTGCTGAGTCCCCTCTGGGGGAGCTGAGCAGGGTGACAAAGGCTCAGTGTTCCATGAGGGTGAGGGTGACTCCCCTTCTTTCTAGCAGGATTAAAATTCAGTGGGAACATGCTGCAGACCTGGGAATGGGGCCCCGGCAGCCTGTTGTGTGGTTTTCCTGGAGTCAGGGGGCAGCAGAGACCCAGTCTTGGTGGAGGCAGGAGGGAGGCAAGTGGCCAGCTCCTTCCAGCCACAGGTAAGGCAGAGGGGAGACAGCCCCTAATTGGGGAGAACCGGAATTCTGGAAGGGAGCTTCTGGAAGCTTCTGCCCATCTGCCCCAGCCCCACGTTTCTCACCCTTGCCAGCAGGCTCGATGGTGACCTTCTCGCTGCTGTTTCCCCTGCCGGCGGAGGTGACAGCAGCCACCCACAGCAGGTACTGCTGCCCACGGTTCAGGTGGGCGATGCGGTAGAAGAGCTGCTCTGGGCTTGTCTCGTACTCACTGGGAGCCTGTGGGGCAGAGGTGAAGCAGTGCTAAGAGCAGAGCTCAGCCCGGGCCTCCAGCCTGCCATCTGCCTCAGTGCCCTGGAGGAGGGGATGGTGGCCAAAAGGGGCAGGGGCCAAGGCGGAATTCTGTCCAGCTTGCTCTTTCCCAGTTGTGGAGTGGCAGTGGATGGCTTTGGTGCCGTGGACGGGAGCTGGCAGGCCTGTGGTGCTGCTGGGTCAGCCTCCGTTCCTGTCCCTGAGTGTCAGCTACGGCTTCAGGCCAGGGGAGGTGGGTGTTGAGGGTGAGATGGGGGTAGTCACAGGAGGAAGAATGGTGGACAGAGGGTCCCAGGAAAGCCCCGAGCAAGAGAGAGTCTCTGAGAAGAAGTGAAATAGTGCGTTTGCCTTATGAGGGTTGTAGAGGGCTCCCCCCGCTCAGTCAGCCCAGCCCTGCTGTCTAATTGCGCCCCTTGCTTCCTGGAGAAGGGGCGGGACAGGGAGCTACGGAGCTTTACTGGGCAGCACTTGATCAGCGATTATTAGTGGTATAGATCGCCATCTATATTTGTAGGTTACATAAATCTATAAATTTTTTTAACCAAATGACAGTTTTGACAAGTTGCCAACAAAACAATATCAGATCCCAGTGGTTTTACCAGTTGCTTTGATGAAAAGATTATGTTGCCTTGGAAACCAGAGGCTCAGATATTGAAATGAATTTGAGAAGGAGCTTTTGATAAGCGCTAGTTTGCAGACCTCCTGTCAGCCTCTTCCCTGCTACAGGCGGGATGGGGCTGACTTTCATTTTATTTTATTTTTTTGGTCAGCCGCCGGGAAGGGAGAGGAGGACAGCACCAGGGCCCCTTTGAAATCAGGGCGGAAGTCCAAGGAGGGGGAGCCTCCCCCGGAACAGATGGGGGGCCCTGAGGCCAGAGGGAGCTAGTAATTAGTTATCTCTGCAGTCATGGGACCTCGCACACGCGCTCACACACACATGGACATGTAGATGCCTGCACGCACGTGCTGAGGACAGACCCAGACAGATGTGTGGTCACAGGGGGGCATTCTCCATGCCCCGAGCGAGGGCTGAGGGGTCTAGTGACTTAAAACAGGAGAAAGCATCCTCTTGGGCCCTAGGCCATCTGCAGGAAAATGTTAGGGAGAAGGTACAGGTGTTTTTCCCCACACAGTGCTCCCCAGCACACCCCTCCTCCTGCCTCCTTCAAGAGAGTCCAGCCTTTAATCCAAGACCTTGTGGAGACAGGTGCAGAGCCACCTGAGCCACAGTGGTTGGGAGGCCATTTTAAGCTACAGCACCCTTGGGTGCTGGTATATCCAGTGCACAGTTCCTGTATGTGCTGAGGTCTGGTGTGGTGGCCTGGCTTCCTTCAGCACTTGTCTAGCTATTGACTGGACATATGACCCATCGTGCTGCCCACGCTCCCCAGGCTGTCTGTGTTCTTTTCTGCAAGCTAGGAAGCAATACAGTACATCCCCTGTGTTGTAATTGTGAGGGACAATGAGGCAGAGGGTGTGCCAGGCCTCTGGAGAACGGAGACGCATTCTCCTCTGGGTTTATTTTCAGTGAGGGTAGAGTGTGTGTATGTGCATGCGTGCATGTGTGGAGAAAAGCTGAGTACTTGCTTGTGTGTCAGTGTGTACTGAGTGTACCTTTCTGTCTACACAGGGCAGGAAAGTTTGGCTTCCCCTTGAAGATATTAGCATCCTTCCCAGATCCCAGGTGTCTTCCTTTTAATCTAGACTCTCTATGAATCTCTTGAAATCTCTCTCAAAAGCACTCAGTCATATCTCCAATTAAGTCCCAGTGGATCAAAGGTTTTTTTTTTTTTAAAGACAAACTATGAAAGAAGAAACCATAGGCCAATATTTATCTGTCTTTCTAATCATTAAATAAAGGCAAAAATTATGAACAGAAATGAATAATAGATAAATTTAAATTCTGTAAAAAGAAATACTATGCTACATCAAAAGCAGGATCAAAAGTCAAGCAATAAATAGCAAGTACTTGCAATTTGTATGATAGAAAATGGTTATTCTCCTTAATATGTAAAGAACAAATTCAAATCAATAAGAAAAGCATGAGAAACCCAAATAGAAAAAAATGAACAAAGAATATGATTTGACAATTATCTAAAAAAGAGAAATGTCACTAATAAAAACAATTGAGATAACTAGTAACCAAGGAAAGGTAATTTCAAATAAGATACCTTTTCAAAGTAAAAATTCAACTGGCAAAAATGCAAACTAAACTAAACCAAAAGTTAACCCAAAATGAGCATAGATACACAGGACAATGGTGGTGGTCCATATCACCACAAGTACCTGTAATTTTGGTGGAAACATAAAATGGGGAAGCTTTCTGAAGAACAATTTTTAAATATGTAAATAGAACCTTAAGAATATTTACTCTTGGGCTGGGGATGTGGCTCAAGCGGTAACGCGCTTGCCTGGCATGCACGGGGTGCTGGGTTCGATCCTCAGCACCACATAAAAATAAAATAAAGATGTTGTGTCCACCGAAAACTGAAAAATAAATATTAAAAATTCTCTCTCTCTTCTCTCTCTATCTTAAAAAAAAGAATATTTACTCTTTGTGACCCAGTGATTCTTATAGAGATTTATCCTAATATTAAAATATGCGAAGTATTTGTATAAAGGCATAAATTGGCCTGAATATACTTTATATACAGATATGAAAAACTGTGCTCGTAATAAGAATTGTAATGCTTAAAAAAATAAAGAATAAAATAAAATAAAATATGGGCATAAAGACTTTTGTGAAAAATGTTCACTGAAGCATGACTTACATGGTGAAAATTTGAAAAATACATTAAATGTAGACTAACAGGAGACTTATTAAATAGATTATGTATAAATGGCCATTCAAGATCATGTTTTGAAAGAATATTTGCTGATGTGGGAAGGTGCCTACATAAATTACATGAAGAAAGCAGATTATATAACATCCTGTAAAATTTTATTTTAATTATGGAAGGAAAAAAGCAGATCCTAAGCCAACTCATGATCCCTGTGTGGATCAAAGTCGAGAAGGTTCAGGGAGTGTGAGCACTTTGACTTTGACTTCATTCTTTCCCATAATTTACAGAATTTTCTAGACTCAAATCGTATTATTTTTATAATCAGAGAAAAACAACAATTGTATGGAAGTATTTGGTGAAATTTCTACCCAGACTGGCTGTCCCCGGTGCATCCCTGAGAGCCAGCTCCAGGCCCAGTTCTGTTCTGAGGACTCCAGGCACACACACTCCCACACCCCCATCAGCGTGTGCAAGCGCTCGCGGTCGCAGGGGCATTTGCCATGCTCACACCCAGGGTTTTGCACTGTGGCCTGTGCGTGTGCGCCCTCACCCCTAGCATCTCCACCACGGCTGTCTTTCATAATTGACTTTGTGATGCAGTTGTTTGGAGGTTGGAATGTATCTGTGCCAAGTGATTATGTCCCATGTGATGGTTGGGCCCCTTCCATTCCCTTCCCTTCCAGTCCCCCTATGTGGCTGAACCCGAGTTCTCATCATACTAGACCTTGTATGGCACTGGCTGATGGGAAATCTCTCCTGGACTGAGGAAGTCCCTACACGCTCAGGACGCTAGGAGGACAGAGGTGGGGCTCAGCTGCAGCTGGATATTGAATGTCCCTAAAGGTCCATGTGTTGAAAGCTGGGTGCCCAGCTCGTGGTACTACTGGGAGCTGTTAGGAGGTGGGGCCAAGTGGAAGGAAGTTAGGTCACTGGGGTGTGTCCTTGGAAGACTCTGGCCCCTTCTGTCTCTCTTATTGCTTCCCAGCCACCATGAGGTGAGGATCTTGCTGTATCACATGTTCCCTGCCATGATGTTCTGTGTCCTCCCCCAGGTCCAAAGGCAATGAAGCCAAGCAACCATGGATTGAAAACTATGAAACTGTGTGCCCAAATAACCTTTCCTCTTTTTAAGTTGATTATGTCAGGTGTATGTCATAGTAATGGAAAACTAACATAGTCTCAGTGTCTCCAGTAGCATGAGGAGGGGATGGGAACCAGGAGTTCTGTGCTGGGGTCTGGGAGAGGATCGCTGGCCAGTGGACTGGAGGCTCCTGAAGCCTGAGCTAATGAGGAGGCTTCCAGACACTAATCCCTTTGAAGGGCTTCATTATCAGAGAAGAAATGACAGCAAAAACCCAAGCCAGAGAATGGCTGCCTTCTCCCATCAGTTATGAAAGTTAAGACTTTACAACTGCCAGGCTGCTACTTTTTCGCTCATCAAACATGTATTCAGTGACCATGATATTCCTGGTGCGGCGTTCCACAGCTGGAGACTGAAAATGTTGATGAGAAAATAGCAGGGCCTGTGCAGATGTGGAGAAATGGGACTCTTATCCCCCACAAATGGGAGTGTGACAGACAGGAGCACCTGACAGTGCAGGGTGGTAGGCCCATGACCCGGTGACTCCTCTCTTAGGTACACACTCAACAAAGACACATGCGCACGAACATCGAGAGACACATTTGAGCCTGTCCCCAGCAGCAGCATGAGAACAGTCCCCCACCGAAAACCTCCCCCACCGAAAACCAACCCGAAACCTTCCAGTCGGAGACATCCACGGATAGCGCAATGCATGCAGAGAAGAAGTGAGAATGAGCTACAACCACACACAGCCACGTGGATGGAATTCACAGATTCAAAACAGCCAGACAAATGGCGCAGCTCCAGTCCCACCAAGGACGGAAGAGACAGCTCTGATCTGTGCTGTTGTTGTCAAGAGGGAGGCAGGGGAAGGGGTGGCTGGGAGGGCATGAGTGGTCTTCTGGGGTGTCGTGATGTCCTGTCCCCTGCCCTGAGGGCTGCCACCTGGGTGTGTCGTGCACACTATGTTGCCTATGAGGCAGTGGCCCATGAGGATGGCCAGGAGGGGTCAGTGTTGGTGAATTTCCTCCCTGGTAAGAGAATTCTGGATTTAATGGTGAGAAGTTGGGCCACCTACCACTGGGAGAGTAATTCAGAAAGACCGTGGGAAAGCAGAGAGGACAGGAGAAAATTATAACGCAATTACAGAGCAATTTCGGGGCAGCTTCCCCGGCGGCCAGAAGCTCATGCAGATGCTTGGGCTGATGATGAGCTGATGGAGGGAGAAGCTGGCTACCCCTTTCCATCCTCCTGATGGCACTCATGGTCCTGTGCACCCTACCCCTCTAGACTGGAAGCCTGTTGAGGGCAAGTGACTGCACCTGCACCCGCATCCAGAATAGGCATGCTGTAGAGATGTCCCTCAGCAGGACTTCATGCATGTGTGGATGGAGATCACTGAAGAGGCAGAGGGAAGGATGCATATTATGGGATATGGGTACATACACCACTGCACCCACCCCTTACTTGTCTTTCCACCCCATGGGGCCCCCGAGGCACTCAGTGAGCTGGTCACCTTCCCAGCACTTCCACTTGAGGGCGCCCTCTGCTCCCAGGGGAGAGTCGGGTGTTGCAGACTCTCCCCTGCCGAAGCCCAGGCCCTGGCTGGAGAGATGGCTTGCCTCTCTGGGGTGCCCCCGTCTTTCCTATCCCTTCACCTGTTTCCATGCTGAGACAGTCACTCAGGGCAGAGCTCCAGCAGCACCTGATGCCCAGAGTGACCCTGCTGAAAGGCCATTCATTCCCAGAGGTCACCAAGCAGCCCGTCCCCAGTCATCAGCCGGGAGCCTGCTAAGAGCTTCGACAGACAGAGCAGAATGACTGGCTGGCTTCCCTCTCACGCTGCCCACTTGATTGTGAGCCACCTGACTCCAAGCTTTGTGACAATCATGCAACTTCAGGAACATAGGGCTGACCCAAGATGGATGGTAGGCAGGCTTCAAGCTGCTTTGGGGTGACCAGTGCCCATTCCTAACTAGGGTTCCAGGTAGAACAGATACAGGCAGCCTCGGGGTTTGGTCTGAAAGCCAGATGGTCCTGTATTCCCCACAGGATCTTCCCTCTCCTGTACCCCTGACTCCGCTTACCGGCTGACCAGACCCCGGGCTGGAGCAGAAGATGGTGTACTTGCGGATCACGCCATTGGGCTTGGTTGGAGGGAGCCAAGAAACAACCACACTGCTAGCCGATGAAGGGACAGCTTTGATGCCAGCTGGGGGACCTGGAACTGAGCAAGGAGAAGGCCTGGTCAATTTAGACAAGGAGGAACACAGCCTTTGGGGAAGAGGATGGAAGGGAGAGAGTGGGCAGATCAATCTAGGAGAGCTTCTTGGAGGGGGCATCCTTGATACCGTCTAAAGGGAGAGAGCCCACAGCACAGCAAACAGGTGGGGAAAGAAGGGTGATGGTTTGGGCCATTGGAGTGGCCTGCTTCAGAACTGGCCAGAATGGAGGACTTAAGGTAGGACAGAGAGAAACAGCCCATGAAGAATTCATCTTGATCCCTCTGACTTTAAACCCTGCCCCCCAATACCCTCACTAACCATTAAGGAAAACCTCACACTGGCACTGGTCATTTGTTCTTTTGAGCCAGCTACCCCTCAACACCCTGCCCCATCTCTGGGCCTGGGAGGCCAGGTGACCCCTGCTCTCAACCACACTCCAACTCTGCACTGTGCTACTGTGTTCTTGTCTTCCCTCCTTGGAGCTTTTATGAGGATAGTGATTGCAGCCTATTCTATTTATTTCACCTCTTTGAGCCTCAGCTCATGAATGTGATGGAGATAACCACTCAGAAGGGTTGTGGTGAGAGGTAGTGTTAATTAAGATAAAGCACCTAGCACAGCCTACCATATAGAAAACATTCAATAGGTTGTAAGAATTATTATTTTGCATTTCTTCCTCCAATTCTCAGCTTATGGCACCTACCTCAGGGGTTTCTCCCAAATTCCTAGTAAGTGGTCAATGATGTGGGGTTAAACAAAACAATTAGATATAGCAGCATCCTCCATACAGGGGCCTGAGTCCAGAACCTGGGAAGCATTGCTGACCCCGCCCTTCCTCCATGCTCCAGCCCCTTCCACCCATGCAGGGAAGTCTGCAGTTGTGAGGTTCAGGAGTCCATGATGGCCACGGGGGTAAGGTGCTAGGTAGTGTTCAGTCTTATCTATTTCTGCATACATTTCCCCCACCAGATATTGAGAGAAGTGTATTAAAATCAACCACAATTGTGTATTTGTCTGTTTTTCCTTGTAGTTCATCTCTGTCTTCATATTATTGAAGTTATATTATTAGGTATATACAAATTTAAATTTTTTTTATTTGCCTCATACATGGTGTCTTTTATCATAAAAAAGCAAACTTCTTTATCACTAACAATGATATTTTGCCTTCAAGTATAATATGTCTGATATCATCAACATTCTAGTTTTCTTTAAATGGTTTGCATGATATGATTACGTTTTTTTCCCCCCATCCATTCGTGTTGAATTTTTCTTTGCCTTTATGTTTCAGATACCTTCTGTAAACAGCATTTATTTGGATTTTGGGTTTTGCTAGCCAGTGTGACAGTTTTTAATCTCTTAATTGGAGAATTTAGTCAACTTATCTTTATTGCAATTGTTACATTTGCGTTTAAATATACTGTCTTACTAAATATTTTCTGTTTGTCTATTCTGGTTTTTCTCTTTCTTTCCTTTTGTGGTTTCTTTTAGAGTTCTGTGTCTAGCATGCAGTAAAAAAATAATAGGGACAACTGAACAATATCCTTCGGGGCGGGGGAAGATGAAAGGAATAGACTCAGAAGGGTTCCAAACTTGAAATGATCAAATGTGGACTTTAAAACAATTATACTTGACAAGCATGGCGGATAGGAGACGGGAGGGGAGCAGGGGATGTTCCTCTGCACAGCTGTTCCCCTAGCACAGAACCTGCTCCTCTGCCTATACAGGTTTTTTTTTTTCTTTTCAAAAAAAATTTTTTTTTAGTTGTAGTTGGATATTTATTTATTTTTTTTTTTGTGGTGCTGAGGATCAAACCCAGGGTCTCACCTGTGCTAGGTGAGCACTCCACCGCTGATCCCCAATCCCATTCCTATACAGGTTTTTAATAGGTCAAGGACACTAGTCTTTCCTCTCCCATCCTCTGCTTGTGCCCAACAAGGGTTATTCTCCTAAAACATGGGCTTAGTCATGCCCTTTCCTCAGTCAAAGCTCTTAAAAGTGTTACTTTTATTTTTTTAGTGGTGGGATTGAACGTAGGGTCTTCCACATACGTGCTAAGCAAGCACTGTACCACTGAGCTCTACCCCCAGTCCTGAAGTGGCCTCAGATTGAGCTCAGCTTTGTCCTGGGGGGCCACGTGGCTCTGTTTGGTGTTCACGGGGAAGGTGAGGAGTAGGCAAGAGGCCGTGTAGCTCAAGAACTGAGTCCACCCAAGCTAACCTGAAACCAAGGGCAGACTAAGACATTCAGATTTAATTAAAACTTGAATTCATATATTTGAACTTTATATTTCAATTCATTTTGCTTTTTTTTCTAAATTTCCTGACTTTTTTTTTCCTCAGGAAAAATGTTATATCCCCAGAGTAGGGTGTGTGGGTGGGGTCACCGTGACTTCAGATTATTATTATTCAGGGTATTTGCCCAATTCAGCAGGACTTGAATGGAACAAGTCTGCTTTCCATGCCACCTGAGAACTGACGGTGACATAACTTCCACCTGAAAAAGGAAGAGCCCGGTGAGCTGGGGCAGCTGTGGTGGGCAGGCAGCAGGGACCGCCATTCCTTCCTAGTCTCATTGGCTTAGGTTTCCAAGCTCCTCCACACTTCAGTTATCTCTAACCCCTGCGCTGTAACACCTGTAACTCTTCCAACACCTTTGCCAGGACACATGGTGCTTGGGGTGAGCTGGCCCTGATAATTCCATTTCCCTTTTGGTGACTAGCTTAGCAAGCAAGAGGTATGTGGCCCCGTTCTGGGAAATGAGGATAAATCTGAGGAGGGGGTTTCTGGGAAAGGTTTCTTTTGCTCCTATGAGAAGCATGGCCTCTGGAAGGAACTGCTGCTTCTCCCTCTGAACACTGACTGTCCTGCGTGAGGCCCAAGTGGCAGCCGTCTTGAAGTCATGAGGGGGCAGCTGCCGCACTGGAGATGGCAGAGCAGAAAGACAGAAAGACGGAACTACTGACTTACCTGACCCTGGAGCTGCCCTATGCGGGGCTTCTTGTTATGTACGATGACAAATGTGCGTGTTGCTTTCCTCTCTTTTAGTTGGGTTTCCTATACAATGGAAGGTGCCTAACAGATCCAATAGGATGGTGGGACGTATAGAGGACACGGAGACTGGAAAGCCGAGATTTGTTACTCTTAGCTGACTGACGCTCACAGAGTAGCTTTGGCTCTCTGGGCCTCAGTTTTCTCGCCTATAAAATGGAAATGACATCTACCTCACAGGGTGGGAGTCTGTCAAATCACGTTGTGACAGCGTGTCACACAATGTTGAGTTGACTGCTGTTCTGCATGAGACCTCTTCTGACACTGGGCTCTTTGGGGGCTGTGCTTCCCCTGGGGGATGCTAATTGCCTCACCTGTCATTTCATTGCTAGCATCTTGGTAGCCACAAAGCAACCAGCATTAGCTATTACCTGACATTTTAGGAAGGACTTTGCAGTTATCTGATTCCTTACATCTGTCCCCGTTTTATCCAGAGGAAACTGAGGTACAGGAAGGTTAAGTGACTTGTCAATCAGCAACAGGGCTGGGCAACTCTTCTGCTGAATGTGCCAGTCCCCTTTCCATGCTGCAAAGCCACTTCCTGAAGGCAGTGCACTAACTCGCGGGCTTGGTGCCTGTTGCACGTTTCCCTGGGGCTCTGTGGGCGCTCTGGGTGCAGGCGGAGGCTGCTTGCAGGGCGGGGCGAGGATCTTGGACCTTGGAACTCCCTCACGGGCCTCACCTTTGTTAGACACGTGGATACACTCATGACTCTGGCCTTGACCAGAATAAGGGGCAAGAAGTCTAGGGACCCCAGTGGTTCATTTCTAAGGGCCAGGAAGGTTCTGTGTTACATGGAACCCAGGTCTTGATGGGATCAGGCTCTGGGCACCATCCCAGCTCAATGCCACACAAGAGCAGGTGGTTTTGCCTGGAGCTGTCCTGGGAAGCCTTGATGGGGGATTAATGACAGGAAAAGTAGGGCAGGCAGGTTGGTAAAATATCAAATTGCTCAGAGCTTAGGGGGAGGGGGCGTGGCGGGGAGGAGGGCGGAGGCAAGGCAGGGAGATTAAGCTGGGCTGGGAGCTGGTCTAGTCACCAAGCGCAGGGTTGTATGTGCAATTTCTCTCACCATCACTCCCAGCCCGAGTCGCTCTGTAACACCTGTAACTCTTCCAACACCTTTGCCAGATCGTGTGGGTGGGGCCTCTACGCTGGGCTCCATATTCCTCGGAGAAACAGAGCCTGAGCGGGGAGTGCCCACGTGTGCCCGTGGCTCTTCACATAGACCAACTCATCTACGATCAGAGCACTGGCTCAAAACATCCAGTTAAGAGACACCCAAGTGACCGTGGAAGGAATCAGACATAACTTTCCTGTGTTCATATACGAATACCTGACCAGTGTAACTCCACATCATGCACAACCACAAGAATGGGAGTTATACTCCGCGTATGTATAATATGTCAAAACACACTCTACTGTCATGTATAACTGAAAAGAACAAATAAAACATTAAAAAAAAAGAGTACTAAAAAAAAAAAAAAGAGAAACCTCTCGTGTTGTGGCCAGTGGAGTGGGGAAGAAAGCAGATAGCTGGAAGCAGGAGCTGGGGTTTCCTGCCAGGTACAAACGTACCTCCCATTCAAACAGTGGCTCCTGGAGGGGTGCGGCTCCCGACCCTGGGTGGAGGTCTGACCCTTCTTCCCACCCTTTCCTTTCCCCTGCCCTTACTTGGTCACTTTACCCTTGACTTTGGCCTCCTGTCTCTGGATTTCCCTTAGTTCCACCCCATGAGGAAGGGCTGTGAGATCTCAGTTCCAGATGGAGGCACACCCCGTTCTCTTCTTTGCAGGTCCTGGGCCTGGCCCATGCTGGGGTGATGGCCAGGTCTCCAGCTCAGGGTGTGCTGGGTGGTGCTCCTGACCCCTGCGCCACCCTCCACTTTATATTTAGAGGAAACCAGGCTACACCTCGAAGGGGAGCAGATGCCATAAAAAGAATGTCCTTAGGGATGGGGGTATGAGGGGGAAGGTTTATCTGGAGGGTAACTCGGTGCTTCAGAGGGTGGGTTGGGGGACTTGGATGTTCATGCATCGTCCATGGAGAAGACATGATCTATGGTCAGTGATGTCCTCTCAAAGCAGGACCCAAGTCCTGCAAGCTACCCTGCAATGGCTCTAAGGGACAAGAGGAAGGCTGGCGCCCTGCTCTTACCTTGCCCCTGGGGTGCAGCCTGGGTGAGCTGTGGGCAGCTCCAGGCCTGGACTCACCGTCTTCCTTAGTCTGGATGTAGAGCACGCTGCTGCGCACACCGTCCCCAGCTTGCGTGTAGGCCAGCACCTGGACGCTGTAATTGGTGAACTTCTCCATGCCTCGTAGCTCCACCCGTTCCCGCGTCGTGGTGATGTTCTGCATCTCGCCCCACTCTGTGGGGACAAGGGGCCTCTGAGCATGGGCAGCCCTGCCCTACCAAGGTCCTTGCTGCAGCCCCTCTGTCAACGTGGGGCCAGAACTACCTCTGTGGGGGCCAGAACTACCTCAGAGTACCTGGGAGCATATTTGGGTCACTGCCTGCAGGTCATGTCTCTGCCTCAGTGGACAATCAGGGTGAACCACATAGAATGGCCTGGCCCCACGCTCCAGATGACCTTGCCAACTTCAACTTGATTTTCACCGTTTAGAATCCCTCTATCCCTCCATCTCTTCCTGAAGTGCGTCCCTTCTTGCACCCAGAGGCCTGGCATATCTTGCCACCCCACCTCACACCCATTTCCTCTTTGTTGACCCAGACCCTCGTTGGGCTCTCAGTTCTCCCTACACAGCGTGTCAACCTGCAGATGAAGGATGACAGCTGAGTTTGCCTCCTTGGCCTCTGATTGCTCCTGGGCCAACACTCTGGTCACTCAGAGTAAGGGGCTATGTGACCCACCGGCTTTCTCCCCACCATTGAGGACACACAGCCAGCCCTTCCCTGCAAAAAGCCTGCACAGAAAACCTGGGCGGCCTGGGGGGCTGATAGCCTCGGCCAGGAAGGGCTGGGTCATTTGTCAGGCGCAGTGAGGCCCCGTCATCCTGACTCTGCCAAGGAACTTCTCAGAGACTCTAAAGAAGGGCATAGGGACAGGGTCCCATGGGAGGGCCAGGGTCAGAGCTGAGGAAGGGAGGTGGGCTCCTGAGCCCCTCACTGCTACTATTGGGTTTTCTTAAAGACAGGCACAGACACTGGCTGAGGACAGGCCTTCAGGAGATGAGCAACTGCAAACCAGCTCTCAGCACCATCTGGCGACTGATGCAGGCAAAGCCCCGAGGCAGAAAGCCTGGGCAGGGGAGAGCAGTCATCTGCCAGGGCCCAGAGGGTGAGAATGCCATGCCCAGCATGAGGGGACCCCAGTCATTGCAGGAGGGACCTCAGAGGCTTGGTCACAGGAGGCAGAGTAGCCAGTCTTGGACTGTGGCCAGAGAAAGACTCAGGAAGTAGGCAGCGTGGCCAATAGTCCAGGTGGTCCTGGACCTTAACGAGGTCAATGCCTTAAGGGCTGTGCTGGGGAAGGCTGCCACCTTAGACAAAAGGGAGCAAGTTCTGGAAAATGAGCATCCACCCCTTACATGGCTCAGCCCAAACAGGAATGTGGTAGGGGCGCATTCGGAGCAGTGCAGCCTGGCGTCTCTCAGTCCAGAACTTAGGGACCCACCCCTGGGCCAGAGGCCTCTGAGCTTTCATAGGAGACAAGCGAAGGGGGAGGTCGCTTCCTACTGGTGGTAGTCTGGGCAGAGTAGCATCCAGGTGGGGAAGGGGATGGTGGTAACCCTGGACGGATGGCCATGAGCTGGATTCCCAAGTCCTCTGGAAAAGGAGAGCAGGACACAGGGAGCCAGGAGGCGGAAGGCTCAGCGCCTTCCAGGCCTCGTGCTGTCGCGTGGGCAAGGCCTGTAGAACATAGTTAGGATACTGGCCTCTGGCTTGCGTGGACTAGGAACTTCCTGATCCCTGAGAGGTTTTGTCTGTACCAGCAGGTAGCAGGCTGGTGTGTCTGTGTGGGCTACACAAACCCGTTGGCACAGTGCACCCCGGGGGAAGGGAGCTACCTCGGCGGCTGGGCCATCGTCAGAGTTTTCCCCACCTGCCACTCCTCCCCTCGCTCCATAGTGCCTGCCATCCTGCACTTTTGGGGGCCTGGATGGCTCCCCTGCATAGGCCACACACGGGCCTGGCTGGCTGCCTGGCTCCGGCTGGGTTTGGCTGGGGGAGGCTCCCCTGGGTTCTGGCAACCCTGCTGCATCTCTCACCTCTTTGGGTCTAAGGTGGCAATGGCTTCCTATGAATGCTAGCCCCCTGCCCACTTCCTCCCCACTCCACTGAAAGGAGCCCTTCATAAAATCCTTCAGTTGCCCCATTTGAGCGTGATACTTGCTGATGTGGCCATAAAGGCCTAATATCAAGAAAAGCAAATTGGGCTAGGGTTGTGGCTCAGTGGTAGAGAGCTTGCCTTGCATGCCTGAGGCACTGGGTTCGATTCTCAGCATCACTTAAAAATAATAATAAAAAAAGATATTTGTCCATCTACAACTAAAAAATATTTATAAAAAAAAAAAAGCAAATGTGACCTTCTCATGCTCTAAACATCCCACACACCATTGTCTAGGAGTGGCAGAGCGTCTTCCCCACCCAGAGGTGACCATGGGTACCACCACCCACCACCCTGCCTCTGGCTCTGGCCCCAGGATAATGTGCCAGTGGCCCCAAGCCTCTCTAGTACTATCTCCTGGATCCATAACCAAGATCCCCCTGTGGCCTCCACTTGTGGTGCAGAGGGAGGCTGTACTTCTACTTGACATGCTGCAGCCTGGCACTTGTGCCTACTGTCCTGAGACCCAGCCTCAGTCCCATCAGACTCACCTCCATCAACATAGAGTGACCAGAAGATGACCCGATAGCCTTTGAGGACACCGTTGAGGGTGCTGCGTGGGGGCTCTGACCAGGAGATGACAGCCACGTCAGAGGTGATGGACAGGGCCCGGACATTCTCCGGGGGCTGGCTGGGCACTGCACAGGGTGGGGAGAAGCAAGGGTCCAGTCAGTCAGGGGCGTGACATACATGTCCCAGGCCAGATCCTGCTGCCAGATCAAAGGAGCATTCAATTAGATAAGTGGAGGGACCTCCTCACTCATGAGCAGGAAGACCAGTCTGAGAACTCAGTTTTTGCTGGAGATTGGAGTAGTCAGACATCTTTATGGATGTGGCTCCTTGCTCCTAGGTCAACATGCTCCTGGCTTTGGCTAAATCCTAGTGAAGGTGCTGAATTCTGGACAGAATCCCTGGTAATTCACCAGTGGATCACCATGGCCAGGGGACAGAGTCTGGAAGACCACTGAGATGGCCCCAGAGGTATTTGTCATTTAGTCATCTGATAGGTGCTGGCCCCTCTGTGTCCACTGTCCAGCCATGGCCTGGCCTAGGGACTCAGTGTCCTTGTGCCAATTGAAGGGGAGGCAAAGAAGGGAAAGGGGTCTTAAATAACCTTGGTGCCAGGAAGAAGAGTTCCCAAAGACCTCTGGGACCTTTACCCCTTTGCCCTGACCCTGCACAAACAAAACTGCCATCATGCTTGGAAAGATGGGCACCATTCTCTGAGACCAGCTCGGGTGGCCCCCTGCCCTTAACCCTCTCCCTCTATGGGCTCCATCTTCGTGTAACCTACATTCCCAGCCCTAGGTTGGCCTGGTGCCACTTGCCCTTTCTGGATGGCAGATGGTGGGTGCACTGGGCCTCAAGGTCCACCTTGGCTAAGGAGAACGTGGGCGGCATTTTCTGCCAGCTTCTAGGAGCTGGGGACAAAGGGAAAGACCAGGCTGCTCTGGTGTGAATGGGAGAAAGGAGGCCCAGGCTGGAGGGAAGGTAATTAGATCCCGTTGCCCCACAAGAGGCAACTCTAATTTTTATGAGCATTTAAATGATAATACATCATCCTAACGATCCTCTTTGAGAATGATTATTGTTTCATATTACTTAGGTGTAAAAATATAAGCACCATGTAATTAGGGACCCAGTGTAATAAACTAATACAGATCGCCCGTTCGAACAAAATGAAGGTAATATAATTATGGAAAAGACACTCTTGCTAAGGCAGGGGCCCTTGAATACCCCAGGAGGAGTGCTAATATTGCCAGGAAACGATCAGGATCTGACAGGCTAACGAGGGCCTTAATTAAGTATGAAAAACTGCTGAGCAAATCCTGCTGGAAACTTTCTTCCCCCCTCTCCTCTCTGTTTTGAAAAGGACTCTGCAGTCGAGCTGATCCCTCCCTGTTGGAAACTCCAGGGGTCTCTGGGGTCAGGGACGTGGTGCTGGGCAGAGACAGTGACCTGGCCCCATGAGGGTTCCAGGGCTTAGTTAGGTTGGGTGGCTGGCCTGGGCTTGGGGCACGGTCCCCTGGACAAAACTTCCTGGAGCATGTTGTACCCAAATCACTTGTTTCTGTTCCCAGCCTTGCTTGGGGACAGGGTGAAGCAGAAAGAGTGCGGACTCGGGGTCAGGCCTGGATTTGAGTGGGGCTGTTGTTCACTGTCTAGGTCACCTGGGCAAAGCACTTGGACTCCGCAGGCTCTGATGGCCCTTGGTGGAGAGTGACCCAGCTGTGGTTCTCACAGGTGCTGCGTGGCCCAGCAGCAGCAGAGCTCTGAGGAAACTTACTAGAAATGTCAATTACAGGGGCCTCCTCAGACCTGCTGCAGGAGCCTCTGGAAGGGGTGGGTCCAGCCATCTGTTCACCAGACCTCCAGGGCATTCTGATGGAGGTGAGGCTTGGGAACCACTGTAAGGTGCTGCTTAGATGAATGCTACTGGGACCAAGAGGTGACAAGCTAGTGTGGCCAGGCCTGGGGCAGCACCTGGAGGTGGAAGGCCTGAGGGGCTGGCCCCAGCATGACTTTCCTCCCGTGGTCTCTCTGCACTTCTCTTCTGTGTGTCTTTCCTCTCCTTTGTGGTCTCCTTTTTCTCAGGTGCCCAGTGCCCTGGGACTGCTGAGGTTGGACAGGTCTCAAAGCCAACTTGTTCTCCAGAGCAACGAGATGAGACTCTCTGGGGATGAAGCCTGGGCATCAGTGTCTTGAAAGCTCCCAGATAATTCCAACTTGTAGCCCAGACAATAAATGCTGGTATGAGCCTATGCACTCTAGGTGTCTCTGACCTCGTGCTTCCTCCCGCCAAGAGGGCTGTATTTATAGAGGATGAGGTAGGAGAGGGCCCAGGAACAGCTCTCTAATGCTGGAGTGCGCCTATTCTGCTGGGCCATGGGGCAGTGGCATTGTGCTCTTCAGGAATTGGTCTCCTCCCTGCACCAGGGGCAGATGGGCAGGCTGGGACTCCACGATGGGTTTACTCCCCGACCCTAGTTTTGGTTGGGGGCATTGAGAAGAAAGCTTAGGAAAACACTCTGTTTCTTTATTCTGCTCTTGGGGGCCTGAGTTCATCTGGTCCCCTCTCTGGGGCATCAAGGCCACATCTCCTGTTTTGACCTGGTGCAGGCTTAGGGACCTGCAGGTGCCCTCTTTGTGCTTAGACAGAGGGCATGTTCTGGCTACCTCCCAATCCTCTTTCCCTGGAGCAATGAGGTCTCTTAATTTGCTAATCAGTGGATTCTGTGTAGCCATCCGAGAATTATTTTTAAAAACTGAGCTCTAAATCCTCTGCCAAGTGAACAGTAGGATTTCTTAGTTCTATTGTTACATTTCCCTTGCTCAAAACAGATGAGAACAGCTGGGTGTGGTGGCACACACCTGGAATCCCAGCAGCTTGGGAGGCTGAGGCAGGAGGATTTCGAGTTCAAAGGTAGCCTCAGCAACTTAGTGAGGCCCTAAGCAACTCAATGAGACCCTGTCTCTAAATAAAATACAAAAAAGGGCTGGGGATGTGGCTCAGTGGTTAAGTACCTCTGGGTTCAATCCTCAGTAACAAAAAATAAAATATTAAAATAAAAAAAAATCCACCAGACAAACAAAAAACAAAACGAAAAAACTACCTAAAACAATAAACAAACAAACCAGATGGGAACAGATTCCAGCCTAGAAGACAATGATGACTTGGCTTTGCCCTTTCCCAAAAAAGTTATTGAGCAGGAGAAACAGGACCCAGGATGTGGAGGGAAGAGCTTGGTCAGAGAGAGGAGCCAGGGCACTGGAAAGAAAAAGGGAAACATGGGATGGAAAGATAGATGCAGAGACAAGCCTCCACAGGCTGGTAGGTGCACAGGTGGGCCGAGGGCGGGCATCAGCAGGGAGGAAGAGGGGCCTGCCCACTCCCTGCTGGAAGCTAGACCGAGGCTGGTGCGCTGGAGGGTCCTTTCAGGGGCTGATGAGCCAGAGGAGATGGGGGAGCCTGTGTCACCCATGGGTCCAAGGTGGGTCCTCTCACTGGCAGCCCTGGCTGGGCCTGGGCCGGGATCTCACCCCCCCACGCTCCTGCCCTCACCATCCTCCAGGGTGGTGGCATTGATCTCGCTGGAAGAGGGCCCCGTGCCGGCCCGGTTGAAGGCCTGGACCACCACCCCATACTGGGCGAACTTCTTGAGGTTGTCTAGGGTGTAGACCTCGCTGTCGCCTGTGGCCTTCATCTCCACGATGCTGTACTGCCCGTTGCTGCCAGGGCTGTTCTCTCTGTAGCCGATCTGGTAGCCCCGGATGACACCATTCTGCAGCTCCTTCTTGGGTGCCTGTGAGCATGGGCAGGGTCAGGGACGAAGACACAGCGATCTCTGAGATGACACTCGTAAGACCAGTCAGGTCATGTTCCTCTGGGCCCCACCCTTTAAGGCTCCTGTCTGTCTCAGAGTGAAAGCCCTGGTCCTACGGGGCCCTCTGTGACCTGAGCCCGGGCCTCTCAGACCCTGGGTTCTATGCCGCAGCATTCTGGCCCCTTCGCTGCTCACATCAGCCTCGCTCCCATCTCTGGAGGGAACACCCTTGCATATCTGCACACTGGCCCCCCCCCCCAGTGACTCCTCCTGCCTGAGGTGTCCTTAGTTCCTTAGCTGGAGTGCTCCCAGCCTCTATCCAGCACGCCTGATTTTTCTTCCCTGGTTTATTTTCCTCCATGGCACACCTGACATTCTGTAGCTCTTGCGTAAGTGTTTGACTGTCTGCCCCGGTGGAACGTTACTGCCCGAGGATGAGGAGTGTGACTGCTTTGTTTACTGTTGTATCTCAGTGTTGAGAGGCCTAGCACAGAGAAGCCCCCAATGTGGATTTATTGAATGAATGAATGAATGAATGAATGAATGAATGAATGAATGAATGAATAGGGATATCATTTGGCATGGATCAGGGCCTGGGAGAATCAGAGTTGTAGGGGAAGGGAGGTAAGCAATGAATTTGAATAGAAGAAAATGGTGATGCTTGCCAGTAATCCCAGCTATTTGGGAGGCTGAGGCAGGAGGATCACAAGTCCAAGGCCAGTCTGAGCAACTGAGTGAGATCCTGTGTCAAAATAAAACTAAAAAAGTTCTGGGGATGTGGCTCAGTGGTAGCACTTGCCTAGCATGTGTAAGGTCCTGGATTCAATTTTAAGTACTGCCAAAATGAAAAGAAATGAAAAAAGAAAAAATAGAAAGTCCTGAGATCCCAGTTCACACCTACTAGGATGACCATTGTAAAAAAAATTAAAATAATTTTTTAAAGCATTGGAGAGGAGGTGGAGACATTGGAACCTTGTAATTGCTAGTGGGGATGTCAGATGGCGTAGCCACTGTTAAGAGAGTTTGGCAGTTCCTCTAAAGTTGAAGCACAGAGCTACCATATGACTGTGCAATCCTGGTAGATTCAAAAGAACTGAAGGCAGGGGCTCCAACAAGAGCTTGCACACCCAGCTTCACAGCAGCATCATTCACAGTAGCTGAAAGGTGGGACAACCCAGGGGTCCACTGGTACAGGGATAGATGAACAAAACGTAGTGTGTCCATGCTGGGGGAAATGACCCACGAAAGGAATGGAATTCTCACCTGTTACAACAGGGGTGGAACTGGACGCCCAGGGAAATAAGACAGACACAAAGGAAGCTACAGAGGTATTTAGAAGAGGCGTGTTTGTAGAGAAGGAGAATAGAATAGAGGTTTCCAGAGGCTGGGAGGAGCGGACAAGGGGAGTTCATGGGCACAGAGGTTCAGTGGGGTGATGAACAAGTTCTGGATGCACTGTGCTGCCTGTCGCTGAGCTGCTCTCTCCGACGGGAAGCTGTAAATTTCATATGCATTTGACTAAAAAAAAAAAAAAGCCTCCAAAGGGTGCTTGACCCAGGCCTTCTAGGGACACTAAGGCAGGACTGCCCTAGACACGCCAGCCACGGGCTGCTGTGCAATGAGGACCACGGCCGGAGGGCAGCCCCGAGATGGAGGGGCAGAGTGGTGTGGACACGGAGCTCTGCGGGGACTGGTGGGAATGAAGGGCTGATCTGAGGGCCGGCCCCAGAGAACGCCCAGCAGCACGGCCTTCCCCAGCTCAGGTCCTTACACAGCCTCAGCTGCACACAACGCAAACACAGACACCCTGAGGGAAAACTTGACACTGGTCCTCACTGACATACGACAGTCTCACACATGGCCACCCACGCACGCACATGCCAGCGTATCTACTCGTGTCCAGAGCCAGGAACACACACCTACTGATGTGCCTGCATCCCAGTCCACACACCTAGTCACAGCTGGACGCACTGAATCCAGAACTGGATCCCTTCACAGCCGAGCCTGCCCACCTATAAATCGAGGCGGAACGGCCACCCCAGTACATACAAAAACAGTTTGAATCAGGGTTTTCAAGACAATGAAGTTAATTTGAAACCCCACCTTTTTAAAAAACGTTTTTTAGTTGTTGATAGACCTTTATTTCGTTTATTTATATGTGGTGCTGAGAATCAAACCCAGTGCCTCACACATGCTAGGTAAGTGCTCTACTGCTGAGCTACAACTCCAGCCCCCCAAACCCTACCTTTTATTGTACGAAAAAAATAGATCAAAATCAATTAAGTTAGTAAAACTGCCCTACTGTTTTTTTTAATTTGATGAATGTTTTAAATGAACTGCATTTTTAGCCTCATTGTTAACACAATAAAATGACGTTTTTAATTTAACATAATTGTTTTGAACTCACTAAATAGGTGCGTGCGTGTGTGTGTGTGTGTGTGTGTGTGTGTGTGTGTGTGTTTAATTGACTTGACTTTCTGTTTTGCCTGAAGAAAGTTTCTCTGCACTTGGGCAATCCTGCGTGCTAGTCTGTAATTGGGTACATTTTTGCATTTGGGTCTTATAGCTGCTCAGGTTATGCCTGTGCACGCGCACACACACATATTAGAGGCACAATCGCATCTTGAAGAGCCCTACACCCTTGTCTTCACACTAACACACTCTCATATTGCAGTATGCATATCCATACTAACCCACATTTGAGATTATCAACATCACTATACAATGACACAGAGGCCTACCTACCCAGGGCTATCTGGCCACCATGTACAACTATACACACAACCTCATCAGCAAAGACCTACAGAGACCTTGGACAGGCATTCAGGCAACCCTGACAAATGTGTGCACACGGACACACACACACACACACACACACACACACACACACACACATTTATACAGATCTCCGCAGATCCTTCCTCCCTCCCTCCCCCTTATTCTCTTTCTCCTCCTTTGTCCCTCTTTCTCTTTCTTCTTCCCTATATCCCTGCCTCCTAAACATGACACTCAGGATTTAAATCAATCTTAACAATATTTCTCTGAAACATTAAGAAATCAATAGAGCTGATTGCAAATTTATGTCATAAAGCAGGGGTGATCCATCTCGTGGAAAGAGTCTTAAAATGAAGTGACTTATCTTTCAAGTGAATCTTTATTTTTCATTAATCTGTTTCTTGGTGTTAAAAAAAAATTCCCTGAGAAGTCAGTCCCAAAATTTATTGACCAGCTGGTTCATTCTGAAGTTCTAACTTTCTAATCAATTTTATTTTTCATTATGAGACTTTGGAGAAATAAATCTGATTCTAAATTTTTATCGACCTTCGGGTCAGAGCGTTATAGCCAAATGTCTCAGTGTTTTACGTAGCTATTTGTTCCCCACCTCCACATCTCAGCTCTCTCAGCGCCTTCCCAAGAGGTGGGCCCAGAGCCAGGATGCAGAGGAGACTGGGGCACTGGATTCCGTGCTTCACCTCTGTTTCTAAGAAAAGCCCTGAAGCCCAGATCTGAATCTGGAGGGGAACCATACCTCCAGGGATTTCCCGGGGTCCTCAGGAATGTCCAATGACCCACTTCTTCCCTATGCATTGTCCTCCTGGCCACTCCTCTAGCAGGGGAGGGAACTAGCCTGTTGCTGCTGCTGCTTTGCACCCATGTATGCAAGCACCACGTGTGTATGCCTTGTCTTTTTAGGGGAGAGTCACTAGGCCCTTCTGACTCTCCCACTCCCAAGCCTACCCTCCTGAAAAGAAGGACTACTAAAAAGTCAGACAGTGACCTTGGACTGCTGCCCCCTACCCCCAAGAAGATGAGATTACCTCCAAGGCCCACTGTTGAGACAGGACTGCTTTAAAAAGAGCAAAGATGGGCACTAAGAAAGGCTCTCTGTTCCAGAACTCTCTGTGGTGGGCTACAGTGGGGAGATGGGGTGGGGGTTCCAAACTACGTGTGTGTATGTACTGTAACTGTCTCTACTAGAACAGCCACAGGCAAGTCACCTCGCATCTGAGCCCATGGCCTCCTCTGATGGATGGGGATGAAAATACTTCCTCTGGTCACCCCACAGTGGCAGGCAATTCTGTGTAAGAGCAAGTGCTTGGGGACTGGAAGACACAATGGACCGGGAAGCCATGGGGTTGCTGACCTAGCTGTGCACATGCAGAAATATGTGATAGGGCCAGAGCTGCCCAGGGAAGCACATTTGATTCTTCCTTTGTCCCTGCCCAGCTGTGGAGTCTCTTCTAAGGTTTCCTTGAGTGACAGATGTTTCAGCCAGCCCTAGATCTTACAGGTCTCAGCCCCTTAGAAATGGCTGCAGCACACACTGGTGTCTTCTCCCTGCCCCTTCCCTAGCCACAGAGGGAGGGCAGTTATTCATCCTGTTGTTATAGAGGGGAAACTTGGTACCAAATCACATCCAATTGCTACCCCTTTTCCACACATGGGGTTTGAGGATGGGCCAGCATGGGGGAGAACTCTTTCCCCACCTCCCTGGCTTTGCTGAGTTCTTCACCCCACTCCAGGCACGGCTCTCCACCAGATAGCCAGGGGTGGTGGGAGTGGGGATTGGTGGGGGGACCTGCTCTTTACCCTCCTAGGTCCTAAAGATACCTTCCTGCTCCCCCCAAATTCACTGGGTTTAGTGAAAAACAAAAAACAAAAAACAAAAAAAGGCGTGGACATTATATGAAACTAGAGACTAGCAAGCCTGCTGGGGTTTCAGTCCTGGATCAAGCAGTCAAGAGACAAGATGGTGTTTCACTCACCTTCCAGGTCACTTGGATGCTCTGTGAGGTCACTGGCTGCAAGGTGACATCCATGGGGGGGCCATCAGGAGCTGGGGGTGCAGACAAAGCAAAATTATGAGTCTAGTCTTGGCAGAGGAGGGTCCTGTGCCCTTACTCGCACCCTCCTGAGCTGGAGGAGCATTGGGAGGAAGGAGAAGCTCACAAGCTCCTCATGCTACTAGTACTGGTGATGCTGTTTTACCTTATGGTCATTTGTCACAGTGCAGATATATATGCAGTTTTATGAGCTTTTCTGCATTATTTTGTTTCACAATAACAAATGAAAGAATATATAGCAAGAGAGATCTTGTTTAACTTTTTATTAAAACTGCATGACAAAGGCCACAGAAAATGATCTAGGGGACTAGGACCCCTGCATCCTCTGCAGATGCAGAACATCTGTCTTTTCCACATAGACTGGGGCCAGGGGAGTGGGGACAGAACCATGGACAGCTCCCCAAAGCAGCATCTAGAGCGGCACCCGGAAAATGAAACAGATAAAACAAGACACCAATTATTCCAAGGGATAAGGCTGGGATCTCTCTCCACCATTTTTTTTTCTTTCTTTCTGTTACTGGGGATTACACCAAGGACCTCAAATATGCTAGTCTACCACTAGCTCTACCATGGAGCCACAACCCCAGCCAATCCCTAGCTTTTTTTTATTTTTTATTATGAGACAGGGTCTCCCTAAGTTGCCCAAGCTGTCTTTGAACTTGTGATCCTACTGCCTCAGCCTCCTGAGTAGCTGGGATTACAGGTGTATACCACCACGCCTAGCTTCTTTTTTCCCTTCTTGCCCACTGCCAATGGACAAGGTTGGTGGGGGCCCCTGGTGTCCCTGGTCCCCAAAGCCATGGGCAGGGGAGGCAGGATAAGGTGCTCACCAGCCTCCTCGGTGCTGACGGTGAGCTCCTTGCTTGGCTCGCTGCGGCCGATCTTGTTGAAGGAGTACATGCGAATGCTGTACACGGACGCTGGGTGCAGGTCCACGATGTTGGCCTGATTGATGGTGGGGGAGATATTGCGCGTCGACTGCTTGAAGTCCCAGGAATCTGTAGAGAAGATACCCGTTTCCAAGCACTGCCAGGCAAACTTCAGGACCCCTCCCCAGCCTCAAGCATCAGCCCATGCCAGTCTCAACTTGGATTCTGGCTCACATGGACTGCAGAGGGGGACACAGGCCTTAACTCCCCGGGGAGTAGAAGGAGTCTGTCCCAGGAGGCTCCATATCGGGAGAAGCCAGACTCTGTTCTGGAACTGGCCAGCTCGTGAGCTAAACCTCAGACAGGGTCTGACAAGATGTTTCTCAAGGTCCCTGCCAAGATCACCATTTGCTCTGATCCTTGAGAATCTGATTGCCCAGAGCTTTTCTTCCTGGGCCTCTCAGTTTCACCTGAGAGACATCCCATCCTCTCAACTGCCTTGTGCAGAGGAGGAAACCACGTCCTGTCCCCCTTCCTGCTTCTCTTTGTGTGCTTCCTTGTGTGTTTGTGAGGCTACAGTCTTGAGTGTTACATGTCAGGGTTGGAGGGGATAAAACAGAAATCCCCAGCCCCAACCTCACCCTCTTTCCTGCACCAGCGATAAAGGAAAGATCACTGAGTCTTTCGGATCAGGGACTAACAAAGGGATTAACATGTTCATGATTCATCCAAGGGGACTGGCAGTCCATTCCAGGGCTAATGTTTAGCAAAACTGTAGAACGTGGAAAATACCAGATAAGTGCCACTCAGGGATCCCGTGACTGTAAACATCCTGCATCTCCAGGGGAATCCCAGTCATTCATTCAATATACGCTTGCTACACACCTACCAGGGGATTCCAGGGGAAAACGAGAAGGGGCTACAGTCACCGTGATGGCTCAGCTAGGGCCTTCCCAGCTCAAAATTCTTAACCAGATGCCTCTTTTGGCACTTGATTTTCAAAAGGAAAGAAAAGAAAAGAAAAAAAAAAAGAATAAAAAAAAATAAAGCACAAGGAAAAAAGTTGATAGTAGGGCTTAAATATGTTCCCAGGACATGTCTGGATGTCACTATTTAGTCTAATTTTCTACACCTTTTAAATCCACAGTGCAGTACCCTGAAAAATTCTCAATAGAAAAGATTAAATTGTGTTCACTGTAGTTTAATTCCTAATCCAGTGAAGGAAGCTAGCATCTTCTAGACAGATTTTTTTTTTAAAGAGAGAGAGGAAGAGAGAGAGAGAGAGAGAGAGAGAGAGAGAGAGAGAGAGAGAGAGA